GACAAGGATGCCCATTCTCACCACTTTTATTCAACATAGTACTGGAGGTCCTAGCCATAACAATCAGACAACACAAAGAGAAAAAGGTATCCAAATTGGTAAGGAAGAAGTTAAACTCTCACTATCTGCAGATGACATGATATTATACATAGAAAACCCTAAAGAATCCACCAGAAAACTATTAGAATTCAGCAAAGTGGCAGGATACAAAATTAATACACAGAAATCTGTTGCATTCCTATATATTACCAATGAACTAGCAGAAAGAGAAATCAGGAAAACTCTATTTACAATTGCATCAAAAAGAATAAAATACTTAGGAAAAAACCTAACAAGGATATGAAAGACCTATACTCTGGAAACTGTAACACACGCATGAAAGAAATTAAAGAAGATACCAATATATGGAAATACATCCCGTGCTCATGGATAGAAAGAATTAATATTGTCAAAATGGCCATCCTGCCCAAAGCAATTTACAGAGTCAGGGCAATCCCTATCAAAATAACAACAGCATTCTTTAGTGAAGTTGAACAGAGTTCTAAAATTCATACGGAACCACAAAAAACCCCAAATAGCCAAAGCAACCCTGAGAAGGAAAAATAAAGCAGGGGGGATTACTCTTCCTGACTTAAAGCTCTACTACAAAGCTACAGTAATCAAAACAGTTTGATACTGGAACAAGAACAGACCCATAGATCTATGGAACCAAATAGAGAGCCCAGATATAAACCCATGCATATATGGCCTATTAATATATGATAAAGGAGCCATGAATATACATTGGAGAAAAGATAGTATCACTTCAACAACTGGTATTGGGAAAACTGGACAGCTACATGTAAGAGAATGACTGGATTACTGTCTAACTCCATACATAAAAGTAAACTCGAAATGGATAAAAGACCTGAATGTACATCATGAAACCATAAAACTCTTAGAAGAAAACACAGGCAGAACTCTCTTGAATATAAACATGAACAACTTCTTCATGAAGATATCTCCACAGGCAAGGGAAACAAAAGCAAAAATGAACAACTGGGACTATATCAAACTAAAAAGCTTCTGTACAGCAAAGGACACCAACAGTAGAACAAAAAGGCATCCCACAGTATAGGAGAATATATTCATAAATGACATATCTGATAAGGGGTTGACATCCAAAATATATAAAAAGTTCACACACCTCAACAAAAAAGCAAATAAGCCAATTAAAAAATGGGCAGAGAATCTGAACAGACACATCTCCAAAGAAGAAATTCAAGGATGGCCAACAGGCACACAAAAAGATGCTCCACATCGCTAATCATCAGAGAAATGCAAATTAAAACCACAATGAGATATCACCTCACACCAGTTAGGACTGCCACCATCCAAAACACAAACAATAACAAATGTTGGTGAGAAATGTGGAGAAAGGGGAACCCTCCTACACTGCTGGTGGGAATGTAAATTAGTTCAACCATTGTGGAAAGCAATATGAAGGTTCCTCAAAAAACTAAAAATAGAGAAACCATTTGACCCAGGAATTCCACTCCTAGGAATTTACCCTAAGAATACAGCAGCCCAGTTTGAAAAAGACAAATGCACCCCTATGTTTATCGCAGCAGTATTTACAATAGCCAATAAACGGAAGCAACCAAAGTGCCCATCAGTAGATGAACAGATAAAGAAGATGTGGTACATATGCACAATGGAATATTATTCAGCCATAAGAAGAAAACAAATCCTACCATTTACAACAACATGGATGGAGCTAGAGGGTATTATGCTCAGTGAAATAAGATAGGCAGAAAAAGATAAGTATCAAATGATTTCACTCATCTGTGGAGTATAAGAACAAAGCAAAAACTGAAGGAACAAAACAGCAGCAGACTCATAGAACCCAAGAATGGACTAAGTTACCAAAGGGAAAAGGACTGGGAAGGATGGGTGGGAAGGGAGGGATAAGGGGGAAAAGGGGGCATTATGATTAGCACACAAAATGTAGGGGTGGTGGCACGGAGAAGGCAGTATAGCACAGAGAAGACAGGTAGTGATTCTATAGCATCTTACTATGCTGATGGACAGTGACTGTAATGGGGTATGTGGTGGGGACTTGATAATGGGGGGAATCTAGTAACCACAATGTTGCTCATGTAATTGTATATTGATACCAAAATTTTAAAAAATATTTTAAAAATTTACTGTGACTTGTGTTAGAGTTTACAATTTAGATATAACTAAATATTCCAACACAAAACTTTCCATGTATGTTGTTGTTTACAGGCCTGACTATCTCATAGGCTAATCCCACTGCTCTATCACCTGGTACCAAGGTGGTTAACATCTACTGATTTGTCTGTAGCTCTACGATTTTCATTTTAGGTTCTATCAACTATCTCGCATTGACGAGAAAGCTAATACCAAAACAACCATGTTAGTTTTCATGTCACTAAGAGCAATGATTGAAATAAACAGATGACAAACTCAGAGAAAAATGAAAAAGAATGAAAAGAGAGCCTATAGTTGTTTTCAAAACTTTGAAGGGCTATCCTAAAGAGGAAAGGGGAGTTCAGCTGTGTGACGCTCTAAAAAATCAAATCCAAAAGTTCTTATCTAGGAAGTTAACCAGTAGAGAATTAAAAGATCATTGGGAATAGTCACAATTTGATAGGGTAGACTATATTCTATCTCCAAGAAAGAAACTCACACTTCACTGTATTTCTAAAGAAAAATATGCAAACATTTACAGATCATTTACTAGGTACACAGCACTGTGTAGATGCAATGGAAGGCCCCAAACAGTGCAGTTCTGTCAAAAAGCTTATAGCCATGTTGTGGGAAATAACACAAATCAAAAGAATAAGTTTGTGTATAAACAACATTTTAAAAAAATGTTTTTATAGATAATTATGAGTCTGAGTTGGCTAATAACATACATACATGCACATGCATATCCATATGCACACACACATACATACTCTCAGAATGACTTTTCAGGGACCAAGAATAGCTTACAAAAGAGACAAATGAAATTGTTCCATGTCTACTTATGTAGAAAATAATGAGAAAACAATATAATAATATGAACTAAGAAGTATACCGGTACCATAAAAAAGTGCTGGATTTGGGAAATTCATCCCTGTAGTTGTTTTCCCCTTAGCATTCTACTCCAGCATACACACTGAGGAATAGTTTTACCAGTGCAAGAATGTTACAGGGATGCAGACTTCAGCTCAACTTCATGTAAATAAGGGGAGTCTAAAAATTGTATGGGCTGCCTCATGAACTATGAATTCTGTAGTAATTTTAATTTTCAACACAGATTGATCAAATCGGTTATCAGGCAATTTTGCAAAGGGATTTATGTACCTCATAAATGTTGGTCTAGTGACTTCTTAAGGCCTTTCCAACTGTAAGGTTCAAACAATTCAAATGATTGTGATTACTCTGATGATAGGAGTAAACAGGTGCACATAAAACAAAATGTGAACCATATTAATGCCTTCTCTAAGGGTAAAAGGTAACTATTCTGACATCTAGAAAATAATAAATACAAATAAAAACAAATACATAATAAATACAAAATAAAAAAACAAAATACAATCAAAAACAAAAAATAAGTTCTATGTAGGTTATATATATATATATATATATATAAATGTATTATTTTTTTAATTTTCTGCTTCAGTGTTGTAAGCAGTAATTTTAAAGGCCTATTCAATGTCTGGGAGCCAATTAATCTTTCTTTCCACTGTAAGTACCAGTAAAAAAAGAAATTAAAGAGCTATACACAATTGAAAATCTCAACGTTGCTGGGGGAATGTATTTTGGTATAACCACTTAAGAAAACTGGCAGTATCTACTAAAGCTCAACTTTTATCCCCTATGACCCAGCAATTCCACTCCTAGGTATTTACCCAACAGAAATCCATACATACATTCACCAATGTTCTGGCAGCACTATTTATAATGGTCCAAAGTTGAAAACTACCCAAGTGCCCATCAGCATTATAATGAATAAATGAATTGTGGCATAGTCATACAATGGAATACAGTTATCAGTAAACAAAATGGACTATAAATATACATGGATGAATCTCAAACACATATGAAGCAAAAAAAGTATAGAAGAGCACAGAGTTTATGACTTCCTTTACAGAGAGTTAAGGGCAGGCAAAACTAAAGTGCAGTGTTAAAAATCAGGAGAGTGACTACCCTAAATGGGTGGGGTGTCAGTGGTTAACGTGTGTGTGTTACTGTAACAGGGCATGATGAGGGCCTCTGGGATGCTGGTAATGTTCCAGGTCTAGATCAAAGTGCTCAAATTTTCACTTTGTGAAAATATACTGTATGTATGTTATTTTTCAAAAACAAGTTTACAGAACAAGAAAACTACCCTACTCACAGACAGTCAAAACAGACACCAAGGGCTTAAGGAAAGAGCTGGTATGGTATCCCTTTGAAGATCATATTAGAAAACTTGTCTTCATGTAGTTTAGATGAGGTGGACTAGTGCTAAAGAAACTAACAAGCCAAGAAGGGAGTATAATAACTGGCCAAATATTAGATAGAATTAGAACAAAGTCACCATTCAGTTTTAGTACCTAAAGACACTGGCTTCCATCACTATGCTTCTTCAACTACTTCTTATGATTAGATATATTTTCACCCAAACCTGTAGTACTAGCTGCCTCCACTGAGGTCTGGATCTAAGTCTGAATCCCTCAAAAGGCAGAGACTGGGCAAGAGACTGCATATTCATTTGTTAGGAACTCTGTTCTGCATCTCATTAGCTACTTAACCAGAAAAATTTTACATAAGAGAGATTTGTCATTAAGTTAAAAACTAGATCAAGATTTCCAGAATGCCTTGAAAGATTAAACACATTAAACAAAAAGTAAATACATAAAATCCAACTCCATTCACATAGAACAGAACAGAAAAAGAATAAGATGTTAGTTACAACACAAGATCAAACTAGGAAAATGAGCCAGGCATCATTAAAATGATCTTACCTGTGCAGTTTGCCACCATAAAATGGCTTAGTATGAAAAGTGATGCTGGCTGAATACCCAGTTTTTGCACAGTTGACACTGACTTTGCCACCCAATTCCACCCAAGGAACAGTTAAAATTGACCGGGCATATGCACAGGGTAGGGAAAAGGTATACTCTTCTCCATGTTCCAACAGACTGAGGACACCTGAATATGAAAACATGAGGGTGGTTAATACCTTTAATAAAAAAAATTTTTTTGCAAAAAATCTGTATTGTGTTTTCTCATGTCTAGTCAATAAACATTATTATTTTGCTTAATTTTCATTTAACTTTCGATAAAACTGATTCATTTATATTTGTATTTGATAACATTTCCCAGTAATAGCGAATCTAGATTACTTTCACTATGACCCTTCTCTTTGGGGTTCATGCGACCAGTAAATGTTACAGTGGAAACAGTTCAAAAGTTCCCTCTGATGAAATACAACGTTATGTCAGAGTTTAAGGATATACTTTAAGTACAGCATGTTAGGGTCTGATCATTAGTAACAATAACTTTTTCTTTTTTTTGGGGGGGGTGGGGGATAACTAAATTTCTAATACTAGAGTTATAGACTTTAATCTCAGCATAGTTTTTTTTTTTAACTATTACTCTATTCCATGTGTATTAGGAAGAAAAACTAATCCTATGATAAAAACTATGGTCATAATAATATTGTTTGCCAAATTCTGAAATATTTAGGATGAAGCTATAGAGATAGAAGTGGTAGTTTTCAAACAAATATTCTAATAGGGCTTGTCCCATATTAAGTGATGCTATATTAAAGATGGTTTAAAAAAACATATAATGAATAATTGATCTACACCAGATATGTAAGAGACACTAAGGATATTTGAACTACCTTACTAACCTAAGGTCATTACTTGGGTCACTATCAAACCAATACTAACTGGAAATGTACTACTAGTCTGAACTTTTCTGGTATATCTCTCTTAATGAATGCTCACTGTTCTTAATATTCTGAAATAAGGCCAAGAATTATAATAAATATTTTAATATACTTAATTTTTAAGATAAGCAAATTGACAAACTGAGATTCTAAAGTAGTCCACATAAAGCAACACCAACTATTTTTTTTTATTACCTTTAACAGTCTTCACAAGCGGCAACAATAAATCAAGAATTATTGAGCCATTCCATAAAGTACAGGGTTCTGGCAGAAATATATTTATATATAATGGGAGCTGCCACTAGATACATACACAACAACATACTTGGGTATTTTTTAAGTGTTTAATAATAACTTGGTTAATTCTAAGACAAGATACGTCTTTAATACTTTTATAAAAATAATTATAAACTGGGTTTATGATCTTTGCTTTCTAAGAATATATTTGGCATAAGTAACACACACTATGGAATTTAAAAATATAAGAAATAAATAGCCAGTTTTAAATGTATATGACAGAAGACTATTTAGGATGAGATTCAAAGAATTCTAAAATCTCATTTATCTAACAATCAAACTGAAACTCCCCCACCCCAAATAATTTTTTTTAAATGGCTGCTAATAGGAGCAAAATAAATTGTCGTTAAGTCCCATTTTCTGATTTTACTTACTTTCTGTTAAGGGTACAATAGAAATTTAATTTCTAAATGGTAATCTGTAAGTATATAAATAGCACTTAATTTAAAAGACCTATTTAATATCTTCTTCACAATATTAATGCTTGTCCTTATTTCTTATGCTATTTCCTCTCTCAGAGTGGGAGAAGCTACCACTACCAGATTCTTTGTTATATGAACTGATAAGAGTAACTGTCATTAAGAAGAATGTGGTAAAGAATGAGGTTCTAAATATGACTATAACTTAACATTTGTGACATAAGATATGTCTCATCATCTCTAGGCTTTAGTTTTCTTCATTTATAAAATCAACAAGCTGATTTATGAAGATGCTCAGGCTATTATTATAAGGCTTATAAAGGAAGGTGGCAGATCTTTTTAAACTAATAAGTACTTTCTAATGTTACAGAAGTTTTGATTAGTTGAAACACTACTTGAAAATTGGTAAGACTCATATCACAATACACCTCAAAAACGGGGAAACCTGGAAAGGGTTAACAATAAGTATTTTCTTCACAGCTACAATCACACCATCTCAAAATGTTAGCATCATAGGTTTAATTATGCCAAGCTTACATTTTAAGTTTACACTCACACCAAATTATTCTGTGTATGAGAGTTTTCTATTAACATCAAACGGTAGATTTTTTCCTGCTATCACATTTTCATTAACTCTGCAATGATTTCTGTGGACGTTTTTTACTGCTGATGTTTTGGGTATTCTTGGCCAAAAAATACTGTGTTTCCTGAAATCACTTTTACATAACCTTTGCTGAAGTAGAATTAAAGTTTAGCAATGTATCTTAAAACATTCTATGAATGTCTTCTCAGGAAACAGGAAATATGAAAAATGTAGACAAAGATTTACCTAGAAAACATTTCTAGAGTGCTTTTTCACAATAATGGAAATATGGAAACAACTTCAATGTCAAATAGAGGAAATGGTGAAATAAAAGATGGTAAGTATCCCTTCTCATAGGATATTATATAGTCATTAAAACATACGTTTTAAAGTATCATCAATGACATGGGAAAATGAATTATTTAGTGCAAAAAATCAGGACTCAGAACTATATAGAATTAATCCTAATTTTATAAAACAAAAATAATGGTATGAACATACACACAGAAAAAAAATAAAATGCTAGCTAAATTTATCTCTGGATGGAGGGATTAGAGATTTTATTTTTCTCCTTATACTTTTCTAAGTTTTTCAAATGTCCTATAATAAAAATATTTTATATTTAAAATCAGAAAAAAAAATCATTAAAAAAGATAATTTATATTTGTCCATAGATACCTCTCTATCTCCCCCAGCTTCCTAGAACATACTAGGAATTGAAACAAAAAGTACTACACATAACATTTAAATTTTATACTTAATATTTATCTAGCTTCCCAAAATTTTAATTATAATTTGATATTAAAAATAAGAAAAAAAATTTTCTACTTACCATCTCCAATCATTGTCACACCTATTGACATGCCTAAGAATTTGCTCTTAGTCCAGACATGTGCATTCACACACATTTTCCTCTCAACACACTCTGCATAAAATCCTGAGACTGGAGGATGATGGGAAACCTGCTCAGCAACAAATCTGACTGTGTAACAGTCTGATCCCACCTGGTTCAAAGCCTCTTCTGATAGAGAAGCATGATTTGTGACTGCCTGGGTGGAAGAGCTGCTCGTAACACTGGAGGCTACCTCGCTTTTCGGCATCCTCCAAGAACAGTGAAATGTTTCTCCAATAATAGGATTGTACGGTTTTTTAGCAATGGCTCCCTTTCGGCCTTCATGAAATGAGGTAAGGTAGTACTCAACAAAATGAATCATTCTGTCCTCAGCCGTGGCTCCATTGGTGATGGCTATAAACAGGTCTGGATGAGACATAAAGTCTGCATACATTTCCAGCAAGGAACGCTTCTCTAGGATAAATGTAGGAAGCACCACCTAAAATAACAATAATAGTTAACAAAAAATTAACCACAGAGGGAACTTTAAATCCATGTGTATATCTGTAGATAACTATTCTTATTTCTCTGAAAATATTTCATTCTAAATAGGTATTAAACACAATAAAAGCATTTGATCTCATTAAAAAATAAGCAAGCTTAAAAGGAAAGGAAAGACAAGTGGTTATGATTAAGTACCAATTCAGAACTTGAAGAGGGTCAGATAGAAGAAATTTAAAAAAGAATCCTCAAACTCCATGAATGGATGAAAGTAACATCAGGGGAATGGGGGTAAAACTCAAAGTAAATCTTGGCCATGGTTTTTTTCCATTCCTACTTTAAAAGCCATTCCCTGACAACAGACTAAAGAGATCACTGTCAAAGAAAAACTGCAACTTACATTTAATTTTAAGCCCAAGAAAATTCTTTTCAAGAAGAGAACTTTTCACACTTAACAGCAAGGAGGTAAGTATAAGGAAGATTAAACCTTTTATTTAAAGCAGAATTGGAGATGCACTGTAAAATGATTCAATTCTGAGAAAGCAATCAGGCATTATTTTTCAAGAGCCCAAGATATTCATATCCATTTAGCCTAGTAACTATTTTTCCAGGAGTCTAGTATTAGGTAATAATATGAATGAAAATAATATGAAGGAAAAGGAGTATGAAAATAAAATTAAGACAAGTTAAGTTTTTAACAATATGGTTCAGCTAACTTAAATACAGAATTTTCACTTAATGGACTATTATAGGCATTTAAAAGGATAGCTATGAGAGCCAGGATGGCGGTGTGAGTAGACCAGCGGAACTCTCCTCCCAAAACCACATAGAATTATGAAAATATAACAAAGACAACTCTTCCTAAAATGCAGACCAGAGGACACAGGACAACATCCAGACCACATCCACACCTACGAGAACCCAGTGCCTCGCGAAGTGGGTAAGATACTAGCCCCCGCCCGGCGGGACCAGAGCACCCCTCCCCCCGGCTCCCCGGCGGGTGTTAAGAAACCGGAGCGTTTTTTTGTTTTCTTCTTTTTTGGCGAGTGCTTTTTGGAAGCCTTAAAGGGACAGGGACCCCAATACTAGGGAAACAGGGCGGCAAGACCAGTGAGCAGGTGCTTCAGACCGGCGCCTGAGGACAAAGAATATCGCGCATTTCTCCCTTTTATTTTTGGCAAGTGCTTTTTGGAAGCCTTAAAGGGACAGGGACCCAATACTGGAGAAACAAGGCAGCAAGAAGGGTGAGCGGGTGCCTGAGACCGGCACCTGAGGACAATGAAAATGGCGCGTTTTTTTCCTTTTTTTTTTTTTTT